GTCTGGCGTTCGAGCCGGCCATGGCGGACCTGTCGAGCGAGTCGGAGGACGAGGGGAGCGACTGGGAGGAGGCGAAGCGAGGAGCCCGCCATCTCGCCAAGTCCAGCCACCTCGGCCGGCGACCACGCTTCGACTCTCGCTCGCAAAGCGACGATGCTGGATTCCCTGCTACCACTTCAGCGCTCTGGACCGCTCACAAGCGCGCCGTCGTCGAGCGGTGGATTGCGGAGTGGGCGTCCTCATCGCTCCGTCGCCCCCTCGCCGACGTCGTCAAGACGGCGTCGACGGCTCACAAGTACTACAATGGCCTCTCAAGGCGTCACGCATCCCTCCTCTGCCGCCTACGCACCGACGCCTCCGCCCTCAACAAGCACTGCGCCCATTTCGACTCGACCCGCTCCAACCTCTGCGAGTGCGGCGAGGTGGAGAGTCGGGAACACTTCCTGATTCTCTGCCCGCTGTACAAGAAGGCTTGACACTCCCTCTACAAGCACATCCGGCTTCGCCAGACCCCTACCATCGCCCTCCTGCTCGGCAACCCTGACTACTGCCTCCCCCTCCTCGACTTCATCACCGCAACCGGCCGTTTTGCGCGCCTGACGGAGCCGGCAAAGGGCGAGGAGCAGGAGAAGGACACGAAGGAGGGATGCGGCGACAGCGGGACGTAGGAGGACAGCCCAAGGCCCTCACCACATCGACCCGCACCTACCCAATCTCCTTTCCGATTCTCACTCGCCCAATTCGCCCTCCTCCCGCCTCGCTCCAAGCCCGACAAGCACCCTACACCACACTCTACCACACGAGCCGCCCACCTCCCATCTCCGCCGTCGTTGTCGTCGTCGTCGCGGTCCAAGAAGGTCAAGATCAAGAACGGCATTATCTCGATGGACTCTCCACGGTTTGGCTTCGTTCTTCATCCCTCCAGCCCCACACTCCCTCCTCCACCAGCCCACCACGCCGCGCCCGTTTAATCTCACTCCCCTTCGTTTTATCGCACTTTTTCACTCTCGGTGCTACTTTTCCGCTCCACTTCAGCCCACCTTTCCAATGTACCACTACTATAGCCTCCCC